AGGAGGAGGAGGAGGCGAATAGCCTTCGTGATTTTTCATAAAGGTTGGAGGTCTGGGATGGAAGCCCCAGATCTCCCGACCCCCTCTCTGAGAGTGATTTTTCCCAACCATCCTGTGGTGTTGGGTCCTCGTTTTGAAGAGACGGTGCCCCGCGTTCCCTCCTTCTCCTCCTCCCGCTGCCCCCTCCCTCCTGCCATCATCATCATCATCATCATCATCATCATCATCATCATCATCATCATCATCATCATCATCATCATCATCGTCATCGTCATCATCATCATCGTCATCATCAACATCACCATGATATTCGGCGTCATCATCAGCATCACCCTCCGCATGTCTCTATTTCGGCACACCAATCACACGGTTCGTGGCCCCATAGGGAGCTCCACCGAAGCCCCCAGTGGCAGGGTTCGCATGGCGACCCCGCCTCATTTTGGTGCACCCCTCACACGGTTCGTGGCCCCATAGGGAGCTCCACCGAAGGCCCCAGTGGCAGGGTTCGCATGGCGGCCCCGCCCATTTTGGCGCACACCTCACGAGGATCGTGGCCCCATAGGGAGCTCCACCGAAGGCCTCAGTGGCAGGGTTCGCATGGCGGCCCCGCCCATTTTGGCGCGCCCCTCACACGGTTCGTGGCCCCATAGGGAGCTCCACCGAAGGCCCCAGTGGCAGGGTTCGCATGGCGGCCCCGCCCCATTTTTGGCGCACCCCTCACACGGTTCGTGGCCCCATAGGGAGCTCCACTAAAGGCTTCAGTGGCAGGGTTCGCATGGCGGCCCCGCCCCATTTTGGCGCACCCCTCACACGGTTCGTGGCCCCATAGGGAGCTCCACCGAAGGCCCCAGTGGCAGGGTTCGCATGGCGGCCCCGCCTCATTTTGGCGCACCCCTCACACGGATCGTGGCCCCATAGGGAGCTCCACCGAAGGCCCCAGTGGCAGGGTTCGCATGGCGGCCCCGCCCATTTTGGCGCACCCCTCACACGGTTCGTTGCCCCATAGGGAGCCCCACCGAAGGCCCCAGTGGCAGGGTTCGCATGGCGGCCCCGCCCATTTTGGCGCACCCCTCACACGGTTCGTGGCCCCACAGGGAGCTCCACCGAAGGCCCCAGTGGCAGGGTTCGCATGGCGGCCCCGCCTCATTTTGGCGCACCCCTCACACGGTTCGTGGCCCCATAGGGAGCTCCACCGAAGGCCTCAGTGGCAGGGTTCGCATGGCGGCCCCGCCTCATTTTGGCGCACCCCTCACACGGTTCGTGGCCCCATAGGGAGCTCCACCGAAGGCCCAGTGGCAGGGTTCGCATGGCGGCAACCCCTCACACGGTTCGTGGCCCCATAGGGAGCTCCACCGAAGGCCCCAGTGGCAGGGTTCGCATGGCGGCCCCGCCTCCGCATTTCGTGGCCCCAGCAGGGAAACCGGTTCGTGGCCCCATAGGGAGCTCCACCGAAGGCCCCAGTGGCAGGGTTCGCATGGCGGCCCCGCAGGGTTCTGGCATTTTGGCGCACCCCTCACACGGTTCGTGGCCCCATAGGGAGCTCCACCGAAGGCCCCAGTGGCAGGGTTCGCATGGCGGCCCCGCCCCATATTGGCGCACCCCTCACACGGTTCGTGGCCCCGCAGGGACATAGAGAGCTCCACCGAAGGCCTCAGTGGCAGGGTTCGCATGGCGGCCCCGCCCCAGTGTGGCGCACCCCTCACACGGTTCGTGGCCACATTGGGAATTCTTTTTGCTTCGTCCCACCTGCCCTGCGGTATTCACGTTTGCATATGGTTGGGTCCTTCGCCAGGATAATTCATCCTGGACGTTGTCCTGGTGGTCTTGGGGCCAGAAAGTGGCCCCCGAGGGCCGACACCGAGGGACCACGCCCAGATTGCAAAAATGATGCCGTCGGAGATCCTGGGAGGAGGAGGCGGAGGAGGAGCAGGAATAGCGATAGGAGGTGGAGGCGGAGGTGGAGGAGGAATAGCGATAGGAGGAGGAATAGCGATAGGAGGCGGAGGAGGAGGAGGAGGAATAGCGATAGGAGGAATAGCGATAGGAGGAATAGCGATAGGAGGAGGAATAGCGATAGGAGGAGGAGGTGGAGGTGGAGGTGGAGGAGGAGGAACCCCTCGGGCTTCCCACCGGCGCCTCGAGAGGTCCCCGCCGGTGCCGTGGAGGGTCGGCCGCCTGGCCGCGGGGTGCTGCAGGCCGGCCGTCGCCAGGCGGCGGGCCCTGTCGCTCGCCTCGGGGGAGGTCACCACCCAGTGGGCCCCGCGACCCTTTGGCGGCGCGCAAAACCCAGACCCCCTCGGGTCATGAAAAAATCACGACGGGAGGTTTTTCGCTATTTTCGGCCTCTGGGAGCCCATACCGGGCCTCGGGACCGTCAAAAAACGACTCAGGATGAAAAACCGGTCCCGGGGAAGGGGTCGGGACCTCTGGGGGTCGCGTCATGAAAAAATCATGACGTGGGGGGTCTGGGAAGGGGGTAGGGGGAGGGGGGAAGTCTTCTTAGAAGCGCACTGCTTCTTAGAAGGCCTCGGCCTTGCGTCTGTAGAGAAGGCCCGCGCCTTCCAAGAAGCAGGGGTGCTTCCAAGAAGCCTTCCCCTCTCCCCCTACCCCCCTCTGCGCGCCGCCAGACCCTGTCGGTGACCCTCGGAGCGCCGCTGGGCGCAAGCCTGGCCCTGCGGCAAGTCCGTGCCGCGCCGGCTTCGGCACAGGTCTCTGACATTGCTGGGATCGTTACACCTCGAACGACCGGCCGTTTCCAGAATCTCAGATCGTTCAACATCGCCCGATTCTGGGTCGCCGGCGGCGTTCAACGCTGAGCGCCGGCGGCGGCCGCCGGGCGACACGCCGCGAACCCACTGCACCGAGACGACGCCGGGCTCTCCGAGCTGCTGGGCGCCTCTGGCGGCAGATCAGCAGAGCCCTTCGACGGTTGGGCTGGAGGAGGCGGGGTCCCGAGCGAACCGGGCCCTGGGCCCTGGGGCCTTCACCGAGGAGCAAGGAAAGGCGACACCAACACCACCAGGGCGAGGACATATGCGAGGGGCCAAGGGGGTCTCCCCGGTGGTGTGGTCCGCGTGTGCAGGCGCTGGGGTGGCCCCTGGAAGCTCCAGCTCGGGGAAGCATCGATGGCCTCCTCTCTGGATGTGGCCCCCCTGGTGGTGTTGGTGTCGCTTCTCCTCCCTCCGATTCCCCCAAGACCAGCCATACATCCTGAGTTGATGAACCAACAACACACACCCATACTCATAGGGGGGTCGGAGAGGGCTATGGGTGCGTGTTGTCGAATGGGGGTCCCCGCTCGAACGGGAGCGTTCCCCAGGGTCCGACAACCCGCACCCATACCCATAGCCAGTCCTCCTCCTCCCAGGCCAGGGTGTGTGTTGTTCGTTCGCGATGAGTCCTTTCTCGGCAGCTTGGCTCTGGTGCGCGGCTTCGTGGGGGTGGCGCGGGGGGAACCAGACCCAAGCGCGCAGGCCGCTGCTGCCGCATCGCGCTCGGTGATAGGGGGGGGGGCCCGGGCGGGCCCGCACCAAAGGTCGCTCTGGCGGAGGGTCACTCGCACGTGCAGTCGAAGAACGTGTGTTAGCGCCAACCCCGAGGTCCGGGCGCTCCGCTATTCGCACGCCAGACGTTTGCGCCCAGTTTCGGGCCCGGCAGCCGTCGCCGATCGGATTCGACTCGAGCACTGCCGCCGAAAGATGGGGTCGAGGGTCCCGGTCAACGTTTTTCGTGATGTTGCAATTCCTCCCAATGCTGGATCTCGGGGAACGCGTGCTTGTCCAAAAGCGTCCTTCAGTACGACGCAGGCGGTGTAATAGATGTCGACACCGGCTGCGTGCTATCGGTGGAGCGCTGGACTGAGTAAACACACAAATTGGGCTAACACGCGTCCCGAGGATCATCGGCCCTGGCCTTGGCACACCCTTAGGAACAACTCCTGGAATAACGATTGACCCAGATTTTGGACGATCAGATTTTTCAATCCGAGGCGGCTCGGGGGCGAGTTGAGCAGGCGTTGAGATGGCCAACGCGCGACGCAAAACCCATTCGGTAGATTTTTCTCGAATGGGACCGGACAACAGCAAACGAAGCAGTGTATTTTCTTGTGTTTTTTGTCCCTTGATTTTGACGATCTGATTTTTAAATCTGAGCGTTTTCACTGGACCGGGGTTGGGACTTCTGGGGCCGCGGCTCGAAACAAACAGCTCGGCGGATGGCAGAGCAAGACGCACGCAGACACACGCGCAGCAGCACAGCACCAGATAGCATCATCAACCATATATTATTATCATCATCGCCAACAGGATCATCTTCATCATCATCAACATCGCCATCACCGTCATCATCAGCATCATCATCATCACCAGTATCAGTATCACCATCTTCGTCGTCATTATCAGCACCATCATCATCATCCTCCTCCTCGTCATCATCATCATCATCATCATCATCATCATCATCATCATCATCATCATCATCATCATCATCATCATCATCATCATCATCATCGTCAGCGTCGTCAGCGTCATCATCATTATCATCATCCTCATCATCCTCACCATCCAAGGCTATAAAGCCAAACTATACAAAGGAGAACAGTGAACTGGACTAGGCTGGATTCAGCGGGGTTGAACTGGACTAGACGGGATTGTGCTGGACCGGGCCGGCCTCCGACCACGGATAGGCCAGCACCTGCTGAAGTTGACCTCCCAGGAGTTATGCCCGAAATACCCCATGCCACCACTAAGACTACGACGCTGCCTCGGGGCGAGACTACAACTGGGCTAGGCACCACAAGCTCTGTCTGACGCGGCATCGTCCGAGTGCCCTGAAGCGGGCTGCCTCCTCCTGTTGGCGCTGACGCTGGTGGCCTCGGGTCCCCCTCTTGCTACAAGAACACGGCGGTAAAGGGAGCCTCCGCTGTCATGATGGCCTTGGCACCTGCTGGCTCAGGAGCCTCGGTAGCCTACTCCGCGCGGGGCATGCGACAAAAACTCGATTCCCCCATCCTTCCTCCTACTCGTTCATGTCGGCTCAGCACATCTAACAGAAACAACAAACTGCATGCCACAAACTTTCTGAGATCTCCGCGCTGGACTGCCCTCCCTGGCGTGCGGAGCCCGCCAGGGGTGGCGCCAGGGGCGCCGCCAAGGGGGCCCAGCGCCGATCCGAGAAATCTGCGCGGACCTCCGACTATTGGTCTTTAGGCTGCTTATCCTTCTTGGAATCCTTACCGCTGTCGGTCCAGCACGTCACAAGAGCTGCTGTCCCAGGAAGAGGAAGAAGAGGAAGAGAAGGAAACGGGTCCTGGACCCCAGAGCTTCCCCTAGGGGGGGGGGGGGGGGGGCTGGCCGATAACCTAACTTTTTTGTTCTGGGCAGCCCCGCAGGTGCTGGTGCGCACCAGTACTGCGTACCCCCTTCGGGCCTGCGCAGCCGACGGGGTCAGGACATTGGGATATCCGGGGGGGATGGGGGGTGGCGGGTGGGCTCGGTGACCCAGGCGAATTCTGGACCCTAGCAACAAATCAGGGCGAAGGACCCAGCCATGTGCGGGCGCGAATGCAGCAAAGCAGGTGCGGCGAGAAAGTGGCGGCTCCCCAGGGGGCCACGAAACATGTGAGTGGTGCACCCGACCGGGTGCCGTGCCGCCATGCGAACGCAGCCACTGGGGCATTCAGGGGAGCTCCCTATGGGGGCAACGAGACGTGTGAGGGATGTGCCGATTCGGGGGCGGGTACGTCGTGCAAACGCAGCCACGGGTGCTTCCGGTGTAGCTCTGGGGGGGAGCCACGGAGCGCGTGAGGGGTGTACCCAATCGGGAGCGGGCACACCATGCGAACGCAGCCACTGATGCCGTCGGTGGAGCTCCCTACTGGGTCACGAAGCGTGTGAGGGGTGTGCCGAATGGGTGCTCTATGCGAACGCAGCCACTGGGGCCTGCGATGGAGCTCCATGTGGGGCCACGACCTGTGTGAGTGGTGTGCCGAATCCCGTGCGGGTGCGCCCTTCGAATGCAGCCACTGGGGCCTTCGGTTGGGCTCCCCATGGGGCCACGAAGCGCGTGAAGACAATGCTGGATCGGATGCGGGGACGCCGTGCGAACGCAGCCACTGGGGCCTTCGGTGGGGCTCCCTACGGGGCCACGAAACGTCTGATGGGGTGTGCCGACAAGGGCGCGTGGAAGCGAGGCATAGGAAGGAGGGGGATGATGATGATGCGAATGCTACTGCTGATGTTGATGCTGATGCTGATGCTGCTGCTGCTGCTGATGATGATGATGATGAGGAAGAGGAGGAGGAGGGAGCGGGAAGGGCAGCGGGAGTCCACGTACTCAGGGGGACGAGTCGTGCAGCAACGCTATGGCTGATTCAACTGATCAAAGATGCCAAGCCTCCCACCAGCTTGGTAAGCTGCGGGCGCCTGGCTATTATATGAGCGGTTCGATATCGGGGCCACTGTAGTGGGAGGCGCGTGACGAATTATCTGCGGAACTTCTCTCGTACGCTCCTGGAACGCCTGACACGCTACCAGAGCAGAATGCCTGGATTGCACGGTAATGCTATACTGACCGAACAAGTGGGGCTGGGCAAGAGCCCAACCCGGAGTTTATGGATAATGTGGGAAGTACTCGCTGAGAGTTCGTGCCCTTGCTCGCGCCATATTTCAGCTGCTGCATATTCGGCCTCCGAGTCAATGCCGAGGCGGAAGATCGGATCGGGGGGGAAGTGGACGCGACCAGGGAGGGCAATGAGGTGGAGACGGGGACAAACAAACTAGTGTGATATTGCATCAAACCACTGCTCGCATCCAACTCTGCACCCGACAAGCTTACGTAAACATGTGAATTCTGTGAGTCGTTATCCAGGCACGTGCCAACGTCTTCAAACGGGCCCAGACTCGCATCGGTGGTGGCGACTTTAAAAACGTGTTCTGAAGACTCCCATCTGCTCCTCATCTCCTCGATGCTAGGGACAGCCGGGGGAGGGGGCCGCGAGGAGAGACGACGGTGAAAGAGGAGGCGGAGGCGCTCGGGAAAGAGGCGAGCGGAGAGAGCCGAGGAGAAGCCTGACGGGACGCCACGGGCGCGCGTGCCGCGGGGCCTGGCGGGGGCGGTCGCCGAGGCCGTCGCGGCCGCCGCTTCCATGTCCGGCCGCGGGGCGGCGCGGGCCCGCGGACGCGGCCGCGCGCGAGAGGGGAGCTCTCCACTCCGCTCCCCCATCTGCTGGGCTCTGCTCTGCTGCGCGGCCCAGCGCGGGGCCGACCGCCCAATTGTTGCGCGCCCAGCGGGCGCGCCCAGGTGGCGAGCGAGCCTCGCTCGAGAATGGCCCCCTCGTGCCTCCCAAGCCACGTCTCCCGCCACCCCTTCAGTCTTCGTGGCCATCCTCCAGCCAGCGGGCGCGGGCGCGAGAGGCACTGAGTGGGGAGCTCCAGCTCGCAGCCACGTAGCTGTCGAGAGTCTAGCAATGTGGCGAGCGAATTTGCGCCCATTCGCAAATCCCTGCTGCACTCTGTGAGTGCGTCGCTCCGCGACTTGCTCGGCGACTATTTATCGTGGTGGCCATCGCTTCAGCATCGCAGCAATTCAAGCTGAGCGGGCGCAGCTGCCCCGGCTGCCGGGTGCAATCTACCGGGTCAAGCTCCTCCCCACCTCTAGGGTTAAAGGCAACAGTGCTGCGGTTAAGAGAGAAATGGGGGAGGGGCGCCCTGGGACAGCGAGAGAAGACGAGCATGCAGCATGCAGAACGACAGAGAGCGTTGGGTGGGCGAGACGCGCTCTTCGGGGAGGGGCATCGGGGCTATGGGCGGAGGATCCACCTGGTTTCAGAGCCCTTCGCAGGTCTGGCGGTTCAGGGGGAGGGAGGTCTAGAAGGTCAGGGCACGGGGGTCCTCTACTTTCTCTTTCAATGCTGCCCCCAATGCTCCCGAATGGCCACTGCAATGCTCTGAGCGCCTCGGGGTGCTGTCTCTCCGTGCGCGGATCCAGGAAAAGAAGCGGGATGCAGACGGGTCCCGTGGCCCGCTTGGCTGCGCTGGATGCCCCGGATAACGAAACGGCGCTTCCGCGGCAAAACGCGGCGTAACATCATCTCGTTCATCCGCCCCCCGCACGACCCCCTCCCCAATCCCTCTGCGGCCGCGCGCTGCATGGCCCGCTCTGAGCGCGCCTCGTTGCAGGCGAGCACCTCGACCTCGGAGGTCGCGTCGCCGCGCGGCTGCACCTCCCTGTCGGAGATGATCAGGTGCTGCGCGCCCGTGGTGGCGTCGGCGCCCAGCCTGCATGCGAGGCGGCGATCCCGGCGCCAGACAGTTCTCGACGCCGCCCTCTGCGCCATGCACTGCTCGTCCAGGCTGTTTTCGGAGCCATCGCCAATCGGGGTCTGCAGCAGGGTGCTGCAAGCAGCTTCCGCAGCCAAGTCATCTGCCACTTCGCGCGGACTGAGACCGTCTCCAAGTCGCACGCGGCAAGATTGATCCAAATCTGCTTGTTGCTGACCTCGGTTGCAAAAATGAAGGCGGGTATGGTTTGCTCCCCATTGCATCATATCGAATGTTCACCGCTACCTTCGTCTCGCGAAGAGAAGAGGCCGCGGCGTGAAGATGGTGTAGATAACATGACTCGTGTGCTCGCCAGAATGTGTCGCCACAGGGTTGGCAATCTCAGTCATTTGCTTGGAGCTGTGGACTGGTTGCCGCCAGAACGGTTACCCATGATTGGCCCTTCCTGCTGTGGAGTGTCGAGCCTGGCGCGTGCGAGGTCGTGGCGCACTCTCGTGCAGGTCGTCGCAGAAATTCAGATCCCCCAGAGCCACGCAAATGGCGATGATGCGGATCAGCATGGGCCCAGCTGCTGTTTTCCTGCCAGCAAGCTTTGAATTTCTGCCTATGTGCATCGTTCAGCTCGTAGTTGTGGAAGTTGCATGTGTACCTCCATGTTGGCTTCGACACTTTGGATTGCAATCGGCTGGATGAGGCCCTTCACTATAGCTTTGGGGACGACGATGGGAAGTGCCTCCTGCTTCAGCACAATGTAATCTACTATCGGGATGAACGTTGCCGCTCCGCCCGCACCGACAACATCGGTGCCACTGAAATAGACCTTGTAGTTGTAGACTATTCGGTTGATCAGGTTCTGCAGCGTCATGTGGAACCCGTGAACCTCGTGCAGTACGATGGTGGCTTTCTGCTTCATCAATTTGTTCAACTAGGACATGTTCTGATTTCGCTTGGCCAAGTCCCTGCGCTGCAGGCCCCGGGTGTTCCAGGAGACGATCCTGCACGCAGCGGGGTCCCGTGGTCGCAGCCAGGGCGTCCAGCGCGGGCTGGGGCGACGACCAGCTGGCCGTGTCCACCGCGCGGAAGACCTGTCTGAAGGACTCCATGATGGTCGTGGTGTCGAGCTGCGGCGTGCTCCGCGCCTCTGGGCCCCAGCTGATCTGCGACGGCTGGTCCACGCCCTTGGGGGTGACCTCCGCCACGGGGTCGAGCCGCAGTGCGCCATGCCGATGTTGCGCTGCATTCGCCAGTCGCCCTCCTTGGCCTTCTGGCAGAGGCCCAGGAGCTTCTTCGTCTGGATCTCGAGCCTGATAGCTGTCGGACACTTGTCAGGGCTTCTCTTGCTGGCCGTCGGTGGCCTGCACCTTTAACTCCTTCCATTGGCAGCTTGGGGTGCTTGGCGAGCGCCAGCGCTCGCGTCTTGCCCTCCACGCCCTCGGGCACGTAGACGTGGAACATCTTTGTAGGCTCGTGCTTGTTGATCTTGATCTGGTCGCGCTGGATTCCCGCTGCCTCGAGCCATGCCGCCATGCCCTCCAGCAGGTGAGACTGGGTGACCACCTGATGCATTGCAGTTGGCCACAGAGAGCTGCGGGTCTGGCTGGCGATCCCAGCTGGCGATGCGGAGCATGTCAGTGTCGTCACTGCGGCCGAGCTCGTCCACCTGCGCCAAGGTAGCCTGCATCGCGCGGACCTGCGCGCGCATCTGGCTGTTGTCTGCCTCGAGCTTGGCCGTGGTTTCATTGATCGCCGCGATGTCCTGCCGATGCTTGTCAATGCGCTCCGCTTGCGGCTTGATCTTGACGTCGATCTCCGCCGAGAGGGAGCCGAACGAGGCCGCGACACCGCGGACTGCGAGGCTGCGGAGGCAGCTGCTGTCTGCCGCTTGGAGCTCCGCCTGGATGCGCTGCTCGGCCTCCGCAGGGCCAGATGGCGCAGTCCCCGCCGGCGGCGCCGCTGGCTGGCGACCCCACGAGTCGCCATAGGTCTCGACCTCGGAGTGGGTCCACAGCTCCTCCGTGTCGGCGCTCGCCAGGGCGGCTGCGTTCGCCAGGCCCCCGCGCGGGAGCAGCGGCCTCGGGCATGGCCAGCGCGGCCCCAGACGCGGGAGCCACAGGGAGAGCAAGATGGGGCAGTATCACATCTGACCTTGCTCCCTCCAGGAGCTCACTGGTGTGAGAACTTTGATGGCTGCCGCAGGCTAGCGGTATGCCTGCTGGCACGGAGGCGCGGAGCCCCCTCCTGCGTGGCATCTTGAGCCAGAATGGCTACGGAGGGAGGGGCAGTGGGAAGAGGAGGAGGAGGAGGAGGAGGAGGAGGAGGAGGAGGAGGAGGAGGAGGAGGAGGAGGAGGAGGAGGAGGAGGAGGAGGAGGAGGAGTGGAGCGCGGCGCTGTCTCTTCGAAACGAGGACCCGACACCGCAGGATGGTTGGGAGGCAATCTCCTGACACCCGACGCCATGATGTTTGCTCCAGTCCGCGGCCCCAGGAGTCCCGACCGTTGCTTCGGGAGCAATTCGTCGTCATGGATCTAATTACCTCCGGGCCCTGGGAGAGGCCGAGACAGAGGGACCGCGCGGGCACGGCAAACGTCAGCTCGTCGGACAGCAGCCTGGGCCCGGGGCGATCCGCCCCCGACCCCCGCGCGCCGAAGACGGAGGCCTCCCACATGTTGGGCGCCCGAGTTATCCGGGGTAACTCGGGTCCGGGGTAACTCGGGTTTGGATTCCCGAAAAACGAACCCGAGTTATCCCTGACCCGAGTTACCCCTGATGATTCGGGGCTCTGAACATGGGCTCCGAACAGCTGGGGGGTCGGAGGGCCGCGCCGCAGGGCCCACGCATCTCGCCGCTGCACCGGCGGTGCGCCGGCGCCGCCGGCCACGCCTCGGCGCCGCCGGCGCGGAGAGCGGCGGGCCCCGCACCGAGCCGCCTCGCCGAGGCATCGGCGAGGCGGCGCGAGCCTCGGACCCCACGCGCTGCGACCCCGCGTGGGAGGCCCGGAGAGAGGAGGCTCCCGGTGCCGCCTTCGAGCGCCGGGAGTACCACAGGTAGCCCGCGAGCCCGGCGAGGCCCGCCGCGGCGGCGGCCGCCGCGGCCCGTGGGCGGCCTTCCATCGGACGAGCCGCGGGGGCTGCAGGCGGGGGCACTCGCGGCGGGGCTCCCGCCTCCCAGCGGGGCTCCGCAGTCTGAACTTCTGTGGAAGGGTGGCTGGGGCGTTGGGTGGGGGAGCCGGTGTGCAGAAACGGGTCGGAGCATCAAGGTGTGATCCTGGCATTCCTAACCACCATCTTGTGATCTGAAGCGGTGATTGGGGGGGCGGGGATCCTGCGCGTAGAGCGTCTTTGCGAAAATTGTGGTTCGGCCTCTCTGGGTAGATTGTAACTGCGCACGCAGGCAGCAATGCCTATCATGGCACTAACCACCCTTTCGCCCATCCCAACTTAAGACCTAGATCTCCGACGATACGACTGTTTCACTCCCGACATCCTCTGGGGCTTGTTTTCGGGCCCTGCACGGCCTATCAGAAGTGGATTTGGGCTGAAAGCTGGACCCCGGGAAAGGGTCGGGATGCCTTGGGGCCGCGCACTGAAGAAATCGTATCGTGGGATAAAGCCAGGACCAGGACGACATCGGACTGGGACAAAGATCACGGATCTTTGATGTATGGGCGTTTCTGGATGCTGCACTGGGCGCCGCGGCCGTCCAGGAGCGCTTTCGGAGCGCTCTGGGAGCGTCCTGGGACGCTCTGGAACGGTTTATCCCAGTCCTGGCTGCGCCCGACTCCTGCCACGGCAAGAGGGCGCAGAGTCGAATCGCGAAGTCGGATCGGCGATCGACCTTAATTGGATCGGCGGAAATCGGCAACCAAGTCGGGCGACGTCGCATTGGCGGAAATCGGTAGTCCAGTAGGCTAGAAAGGTCTCCATTGAGACACAGAGATCCGACTCGGAATCCGAAACCGAATCGAATCGCAATCGCTCGAAATCGAATCGAACCGAGTCGGGGGAGTCGACACGAGCCCTGCAGTCCTGGCTGCGTCCGACACCCGCCAAGGTGCCTGTTTTTCCTTGGGCAAGCTGCTGGGTCTCTGGGGACTGAAGCGTCCCCTCCGACCTCCTCGCGCCGTGGCAAGATCACGACGGACCGTGCTTTCGGCCGTCCTCGGCCTCTGGGGAACGAACCCGGCCCCCCGGGTCCAGACCTTCGGGCCGACTGTGCGCGCTGTTTCAGACTGCGCTGCCCCAGGGCGAGGGCGAACTCGGATGAGAACGAGTCGGGGATCTCGGAGACCCAGTGGCTCTGGAGGACGCATCGGGTACCGCGGCCTCCTCAGAGCGTCCTGGGACGTTCTGGGACGGTTCACTCGCCATCGCTCGGACGTCCGTTCCCAGTGCACGCGCCTGCTTCGTGCTTGCACTGTTCCGCAGGATGGCCCCAAATGCTCCTCGGTGGCCCCCGCCGAGGAAACATGCACACGTCCGAGCGATGCCAGGTTCGCCCTTGTGCCAGCCCCGCCCGAAGAGCTTGCGGGCAGACGGCGCGACTTGTTTCACAAGGCGCGTGCCCCAGACCTCCTGATGAGGAGGAGGAGGAGGAGGAAGAGGAGGAGGAGGAGGAGGAGGAGGAGGAGGAAGGGAGGAATAATAATAATAATAACAAGAAGAGGAGGAGGAGGAGGAGGAGGAGGAGAGGAGGAGAGGAGGAGGAGGAGGAGGAGGAGGAGGAGGAGGAGGAGGAGGAGAGGAGGGGAGGAGGAGCAGGAGCAGGGAGGAGGAGGAGGGAGGAGGAGGAGGAGGAGGAGGAGGAGGAGGAGCAGGAGGAGGAGGAGGAGGGGGAGGAGCCCTTCCCCCCTGGCTGGTGCGGCTTCGCCGAGGGCCTCGCGACCTCGGCCGCCCCTCGCCTCAGCGCAAGAGCGGCCGCGCTCTGCTCCATGGCCCCCTCCCTGGATCGGCGCGGATCTCCCCGGACCTGCCAGGCTTCGCCTGGGCCCACCCCTCGATCCGCCTGCACTTACGTCGGGCGTGTCCCCCATACAGGGGGACTTTCGACGAGAAATGAAACATACCCCCAAAATACCCCCCAAAGGTAACAAACATACGAAAACAATAGTCCCCAGACTATCTTTGGATCATTTGTTAGTATTTTGGGTGGGGGTATCTCTTATTTTCCGTCGAAGCTCCCCCTCTGTAGGGGGACAGGCCCGACTGAAACCTGCACCTCCCTGGACTTCTCCCGCTCGATCCCCACCCGGCCGCTCGGCGTCGGCACGCCCCGAGGGGGGCGGCGGCAGCCGGCGCGCCCCTGGACGCGCGAGCCGCGGGAGCCCCGCCGGCGGCGGCCCGGCGCCCGCGCGCCCGTGGGGGGCGCGCGGGGCCCCCCCCGCAGCCTGGGAGCCAAAACGGCCCTCGAGGGCGCCGTGCTCCCCCGGCCCTCCGAGCGCCGGGGGCCAAAGGAGCACGCCGAGCGAGAGAGGAGAGAATGGGATATAGTAGAATCAGCAGGGTAAGGCCCCCCAGCAAAAATATGGAAAGCATGGGCCTCTCGACCCTTCCCCCTCCTCCTTTTGAGTTGTCATGTCGTCGTCTCTTCCCCCCTGGCAAGGGCGCACCGCTAAGCCCGCGCGTCCCGGGCGCCCTCGGGAGGGCGCCGGCGGGAGGAGGGCGGCGTCGGGCAGGGGCGGCCCTGGGGAAAGCAGCACGAGACACCGATGCCGCGGCTCCCCGGAGCTCTCCACGGGGTGCGCTCTGGCCAAGGAGCTTCGAGGCGAGTCCAGCGGTGGCGGCGAGGACCGCCCAGGAGGCCCAGAGGGGGGAAAGCGAAGGAGAGGTAGCGGTACGGGAACCTTTCCCCCCTCCGAGACACGACATCTCTGAGAGCCGCTGGGCTTCGAGGATGCAGCCGGCGCCGCGGTCGGCCCGGAGCGTCCCCCGGAACGCGTCCTGGGCCGCTCGGGAGCGAGCCATGTCCTCCTCGGGCCTGCCCCCGAGAGACAGAGGGCAAGCAGGTGGGGCAGAGAGCTCCGTGCTTTGCACGGTCGGGAGCTCGGCCGCCACGAGATACGCAACACGCAACACGTGGCGTGCGGATGCGGGGCTCAACGCGCGGACCGAAAACGCAGGCTTGTCGAGCTGCGCTCGCCGACACGTGGGCCAACACGTGGAAACAGCACGGACAGTACTGGCACGGACGATCTGAACGTACTGCGTCTCGAAGCGGGCGCATCCCCCAGGCAGCTCAGGTCGGGAGCTTCTGCTCCGCGCGTCGCGAAGGCGGCCCCGGCGAGACACGCTAGGCTCTGCGAGCGGGCAGCACGGCGCTCCGCCCCCCGCGGCCGGGAGGCTCGGGAAGGCTCGGGGCGCCGGCGCCTTGGAGAGAGGGACGTGGCTGCAAGGGCTCCTGACTTCGCGCTTCGCGCGGCGCGAAGCGCGAGATGCGAAACACTTCCCGCTCTCAGGCCGCCTCCCAGGGGAGAAGAGGAGGATGAGGAATCGGAGCCGAACCGCGAAGCGCGAATAACGTCGCGCCCTCGAGGGCGCCCTCGTAGATAACGTGTCGCGCCGAAGCATGGTGGGCCAGAACCGCGGGGGCGACACGCTAAGCCAAAGGTCCTGACCGTAGACGGGGTCGATAGCTCAACTTTCTTAAACGTATGTTTTCTCCAGCGGGACGCTGCAACATTTCTCCCTTCCTGGGGTGTCGGGGTCGCACATGCGGCAAGCTCTGGCCGTGATGGCGCGGGCTCTGGGCTCGCTCTGGTATCTGTCGCCGCGTGGGCCGCCCGGTCTTGAACGACCTCGGCCGCCGAGGCTCGCAGAGGACCGCCGGTCCCGATCGGCAGCGCCCACGCCGCCGCCGCCTGCGATGACCCCCTCCTCCTCCTCCTCCTCCTCCTCCTCCTCCTCCTCCTCCTCTTCCTCCTCTCCTCGTCCTCCTCTCCCTCCTCCTCCTCCTCCTCCTCCTCCTCCTCCTCCTCGTCCTTGCACTGCTGGCCCGCGCGGGAAGCTCTCCCTCCAATGGGGGTGAATCTGCTGTGTAGGGACTCCGGCCACTGCCTCGAGGAGAGAGATAGAGAGAGAGAGAGAGAGTCACCGCCAGGGAGGCAACGGCCCTGCGTACCCCGTTCGCCCAGTCTTGCCAGGGGTGGCAGCTGCGGTGAGGCGGCGGGGAGGCGACGGCCGTGCCATCCCCTTCCCGCACGCTGACGTGGGGAGCCAGCGCCCGGGAGGTCGATGCCGTCGGCGACGTTCGGAACGCGCGCGCGCGGTGCAGCAGGACTTTTCGTCTGGCAGCCCAAGGGGTAAGGCATCGTAGGCATAACCGAGGGGTTGCCCCAGGATGGTTTCAAGGTTGCCAAGGTGTGGACCCGTGGCAGGATAAGACGTTGGTACCGGGAGGACTACAAGGAACATGGAATGGGCGAGGGGCAACGTCAGGGGAGGACCAGCCCAGGGGGGGAGCATTGAGCCTGAATCGGCGATGCATCGCCGATAGATCGGCGACAAGCCCCCGATGGAGAATCTGCACGTTCCTGTGAGGGGCGGTGCTACCTGGCCCCTGTCGCCGATCAATGGGCGATTGGGGGTCGATGCATCCCCCCTGAGACTATCTTCCCCTAACGTCCTAACGTTGCCCCTGATCCGAATCGTTTTCAGGCCGTAGCTGGGGCTTCATGCGGCCGTTCGGGAAGATCCGAACACCCTCGGAACGCTCTCGGCGAGGAGGGTGGACAGTGGAGGGAGGCAGGATGATCAAGGACCATGTAAAGGAAGAGGAGGGGTGTGATGAGTAGGAGGTGGAGGAGCAGCAGGAACAGAAGTGGAGGGACGGCTTGGAGGAGGGAGGGAATGAGGTGGATGAGAACGAAGCGGGAGGTGAGGGGAGGGGGGACCAAGTGAGAGGCATGGGAACATCGGCGGTCCTCTTCCCTCCTCCTCCTCCTCCTCTTCTTCTTGTTGTTCTTCTTCTTCTTCTTCCTCCTCCTCCTCCTCCTCCTCTTCCTCCTCCTCCTCGTCGTCGTCCTCCTCCTCCTCCTCCTCCTCCTCCTCCTCCCCCTCCTCCCCCACATTCCTCATCCGTTTTGGCCACGTCCTCCGCCCTCCGTCCCCCTTCGTCTCCTGCTCCTCCTGCTTCTTCTTCTCCCCATCTGTGCTCCTGCTCCGTCCTCTTTCATGTTCTCCTCGTGCCTCCTCCTCCTCTGGACACGGCTGGAACCTCCTTGAACTTCCGAGAACATGTGAACCGTCAGGAAATGAACTCTTCCAGCCCCCCCCGGACCATCTGGAAATTCCCTCTTCCCTCTGCCCATTCGCCTCCCCACTTCCATTTCCTTTCTTATCCTTTTCCTTCTCCTCCTCCTCCTCCTCCGTCCTCCTCCTCGGTGTCGTCGCCCTTCTCATTTTCCCCTGGTCAAGCTGGTGGGTGGGTGGGTGGGGGGCATGGGGGAAAGAGGGGAGGAGGCGACAAGTTGGGACGACCCGGAAGGAGGGAGAAGGACGAGGAGGGGGAATGAGGACGCCGCCTCCTCCTCCTCCTCCTCCTCCTCCTCCTCCTCCTCCTCCTCCTCCTCCCTCCCCTCATTCACCCCCTCCCCCCCTTCCCTTCTAAATCCTCCCTCCTGCTTCTCCCCCCTCCTCCCTTCTCTCCCTCCTCCTCCGTCTCCTCCTCTTCCTCCTCCGCCTCCCTCCTTCGCGCTCGCTCTCCTGGGCGCGGGGAGGGCGGAGGGAGGAGAGGGATGAAGACGAGGGGGGAACGACCAGCAATGCGTTAGCGCCTCATCTGACATCCTATCCCTCCATCCAATCCCTTCCCATAGCGCTGATGTTTCATTATCTGCGGACGCGTGCCATGGCCGACCTGCGACTCCCACACGAAGACCACTGAGGACAATCGGGGGGAACCGGATGAGGACGAACAGCAGCAGCAGGAGCTACAGCGGAAGGATCGGGAGGTACATGATGACCAAGGGAAGGCGGAGGAGGGGAAATGAGGAGGCGACAACGATGAGTACTGTCACGGATTCAGAAAAAGTGGCCTCCGCTGGGGCGAGACGAACGGCAACCGCAGCAGGAACTCGAGTGGAAGGAGCGGGAGGCACAGGATGACCACGGGAAGGCTGCGACAGGGACATGCTCGGGGGGGGCACCGGGACGTAAGACTCGGATCCAGAAGCCTGGCCCGCGCGGGGGCGAAAACACCAGTCTGACCGGCGGGAACAGCGCGCCGATCCGAATAGGATGCCCACGCTGCAGCGGGAGCACCATTCTGAAGCACCGTACACGATGGGATGGACCGAAAGCAGCGTTCGCCTTGTAGCCAGGGTCCAATATGCCGAACCAGCGCCTCGTTGAGCCGAGCTGGCTCCTAAGCGTGTTCGCGCGTTGTCCTGCTTCTGATCTGCCTGCGCCTTCGGCGTCGTCTAGCCTTTCGTTATCGTCGTCGTCGTCGTCGTCCTCCTCCTCCTCCTCCTCCTTCTCCTCCTCCCCGTGATCCTCCTCATCCTGATCGCTCTGATCCTCCTGCCCCCTCTTCCCCCTCCTCCTCCTCCTCCTCCTCCTCCTCCTCCTCCTCCTCCTCGTCCTCCTCCTCCTCCTCCTCCTCCTCCTCCTCCTCCTAGTCCTCCTATTTCTCCTCCTCCTCATCATCATCCCTCCTCCTCCTCCTCCTCTCTCCTCCTCCTCCTCCTCTCCTCGCCCCTCCTCATAAAAAAAAACCCTTGCGTGCTCATGGTGTTGTTCCTCCTCGTTGTTCTTTACTTCCCCCTCTCCTCCCCTCCTCCTCCTCCTCTTCCTCCTCTTCCTCCTCTTCCTCTACCTCGTCGCCGACCCCCTCCTACTAATTATCCTAATGCTCCTCCTCCTCCTCCTCCTGCTCGCCGCGGTCTTGCTTGTATCCCTCGTACTCCTCCTCGTGCTCCTCGTCCTCCTTAGCTTCGA